GCCACTTCAAGGTCTACTTAGATCATCAGACCTTGCAGTGGATCAAAACGTAAACCGGTCTGTCTCCGACGCTGACCCGCTGGATGCATGACATTGATGTTTACAATTTTGAACTAAAAATAGTAAAAAATAAGAAAGGCTATTATAGTCGTATTGCTGATGCTTTGTCGCGTCATCTTGAGTTTTTGACTTGCCTTGTGAGCTCATATGACCTCCGTAGGAAACTGAAGGAGGATATGGTCGAACACACTGCCAAAGATCCGGACCTTAGTCTCATCCTTGAGCAGCTCAAGGTTGACGGTAGCAGTTAGCCTGATATTCATGAGTGCGAGGGTCTTGTATTCCGCCGGTATGGGAAGTTTGATCCTTTGTGTGTACGCAACAATGCGCCTCTTCGGACTCGTCTCTTGGATTTGGCACATGGTCGGCGTGGATACTTCGGCTTTGAGAAGACTTATGAAAGTTTTTTGCAGCAGTTTGATTGGTCGGGAATGAAGGGATCTACTCAAAAATTTATTGTTGAATGTCAAGTCTATCAAAGAACCAAGATCCATAGGCATAATCCTTATGACTTGCTAAAACCCCTCCCCATTCCTGATGGACCCGGTGAGTCAGTCTCTATCGATTTCAGGGACATGGGGAAGATGAGCGAGGGAGGACATTCACAGGTCATGGTCACCGGCGACTCACCGTGGATAATTTTTCCAAAATTTTGAATTTGATTCCTCTACATCCTCATGCACCAACTGAGCATGTGATCGAAGAATTTCACCAGAAGTACATTCTGCAGTATGGACCCCGAAAACTCTTGTGAGTGATCGGGACACCAGGTTTATTAGTGCTGATTGAAAGGACTTCACTTCTCAGATGTACGACATTAAACTCAACAAGACTTCTGGTCGACACCCCGAAGCCAATGGATTGGCCGAGGAAATCAACCAGACTGTCATTCAACTACTTCGCGCGTTAATTGTTCCAGATCAGAACACGTGGGACAAAGAGTTACACAAAGTGAAGGGGTTGTACAACAACTACACTCACTCTGCAACTGGCGTGACACCAAATCAACTGCAATATGGTTGGCAACTGCGCAATCCTCTCTCCTATCTGTTCCCTGAACGGTCACCTGGTCTGACGTCCGGCATGCCTGGCTACAATGCCAAGTATGCACTCTTACTCAAAGTTGCTATCGCAATGTTGAACAAGCGTCAGCATGCCATGATCAAACATGCTAACAAGTCGCGCAAAGAAGGGAACTTCGAAGTAGGAAGTTATGTCTAAATCAAAATAATTGAGCTTTCGAACGAAGAGGGCGTATCACGAAAGCTTCTTCCACTATACTATGACCCTTGGCAACTTCTATGTAACCGGGTGAACACGCTGAACGCGCGTTCACGTTCAAACACGCTCGTTCATATCCCCCGGGGCCACGTTCACTCGCGTTCAAACGCGCTGCGCGCCACGTGGCACGAAAAAAATGAACGCGCCCCCGGGGGCCGCGCGCGCGCGTTGCGGATTACGGGGTGGTGGGCCTCGTTCAACAAACCCCGAAAGTGCAAAAAAAGACCCCCCAGGAGGCCTACCCCCCCTACCGCGTCACACCTCGCCATATCAGGCCCATATGTCAAATCCTTTTTTCTTTTTTCCGACGTTTTGGGGGAATCCCCCCTAACACAGCTCAAACAGCCCATGCAGGCCATCTGAAGGGTCGTCGCAGCCATGTAGCGCAGACCCCCCCACCAAAATCAAGGTAGGCAGTGAACATGGTACAGAGCACGAGCTGGCCAAATATATACTCAATATTCGAATTCAGGTTTGTGTTCCAGCAGTTATGGGT